CCCACCACTGAATAAAAATGGGCCCGAGTTTGTCTTTTTTTTTTTTTTTTTTTTCTTTTTTTTTTTATCTTTTTGTCTGTCTTTGGTATTGTTTTAAAAGTTGCTAGAGATGCATAGACACCTGAATGAGGAACTGAGTACGGTTTCCAGGGAGGAGGAGATATTTGGGAAGGTGGTTTCATTTTTGATGGGTTTTTTGCTCAGGGGTGCTGAGTACCATTGGGAGGAGGAGTGCCTGTTCCCCTTCCCTGCTTGCAGTCACACCCAGAAGTTCCTGAGAGCCATGTTTCTTTGAAGACAAAGAGCGTTCGTTCCCTGTCCACGGCTCTCCATCTCCGACTGGTGAGCGAGAAGGGGTGTGAAAGGGAATGGGAATGCTGCCGACATCCTCCAGAATCATTTTCTTTCTCTTCGCTTGCGTTGTCTCAGTACATCTTTGGATAGTTTTCTTTCCTTCCCTTTTTACAGTTTTTAAAACTTCTGTGGTTGGTTTTTTTTTTTCTTTTAAACAAAAAGCAAATGCATCCAAAAAAATTAAAAACCTCCCTTCCTCACTCCTGTGTCTCACACTGCCGAGGGAGGCTCTCCCGGTCTCTCAAAATGCGTTACCTTCAGTTTGTTCAACTGAATCTCAGTTCCAGAAGCAGTCAAGAGCTGTCCTGCAGTTAAGATGGAGGTTTCGTGGTGTCGTTGATCCCAGCAATGATGGAGGGGTTTCCGTTTTCCTGCTTTGGTGAGATGCGGCTGGCGGAGGGGAGGCCACTGCTGAAAGGGGAGGCCACGCTGCCTGTGGAGGATGGCCGGAGATCAGCCGGGGGCAGGTCCCGCTCTGGTGGCCGTAAACCAGGAGGTTGCAGTGGGAAAGCCATGGGGAAGCCTGCCATGTACAGAACTCTCCCCACTCTCTTGGCGACCTATTGAAAAAAAAAAAAAAATTAAATAAATGCAGGGGGAGGTAAAAAGGGATGAGAATGTGCACAAACTGTCCTCAGAAATCCACAGAAGCTGCATTTCCGTGCAGCAAGCCCAGGTTCTATACTCCGAAGTGAACTGCAGGTAGCAGAGCTACCATTTCCCAATCCACCAAAGCAACCATAACCCCGTGGTGACCTACCAGAGAATGTGAGGGAACCTTTCCTCCTCTCTCCTTTTTACTAAAGAACTCTGTCCTACAGGAGTGCTCCCTAGCTCTGATATACTGGGCACTGAGGTGCATGGCACTAAGTAGGGCCAAGCTGCAAGGTCTGCCCCAGGTCATGCCTCAGACTAAAGAGGTGCTGGGACTTGCAGTGCAGGCCCTTTTCCCGTGACGTGTTCTGCGTGCGTCTCTGTTCGTTGGCCAGAACAAGACTGAAGGCCTTGCTGAGGTGCGGGCTGGAAGGATGTGAGCAACCCAAAGCTGACCCAAGCCCAGCCTCTGAACTGAAACAATCAGGTCTCACGGTCTCTTCAGGGGATTATGGAACCTTGCAGCCTCCTTACCTGGCTGGGTGACCTTACCTAAGGCTGCATGGACAACTACACTAGCGCTCTTCAGCTTTCATGGACCCCAGCTCATCCCCTTCACGAGTGACACACAGCGGTGCTCAGCAGCAGTTCCTAGGTCACCACTGCTACATGAGGCTTTGGGAACGTGCCCATCTGAAGCTGCCCTGGGGTGAAGGGGCTTCAGGCGAAGA